TTTGATGCTCAAGTCTCTGTAAAAGAATATCATGGTCAATGGTGTCAAATGCAGCACTAAGATCTAATAATACAAGTACAGAGACAAGTCCATTGTCAGAAGCAATCAGAAGGTCATTATTAACTTTAACCAGAGCTGTCTCTGTGCTATGATGAACTCTAAATCCTGACTGAAAATCCTCAAATAAACTATTGTTATGTAGAAAGTCACACAACTGTTTGGCGAATACTTTCTCCAGAATCTTAGAGAGGAAGGGGACGTTAGAGATCGGTCTATAGTTGGCTAAAACCCCTGGGTCAAGAGTGGGCTTTTTAAGAAGGGGTTTAATTACAGGTACTTTAAAGGACTGTGGTACATATCCTGATAATAAAGAAAGATTAATCATATTCAGGAAAGAAGTGCCAATTAGGGAACAACTTCTTTAAGCAGCCTAGTTGGGATCGGGTCTAATAGACAGGTTGATGGCTTTGATGAAGAAATGATTGAAGTTAACTGATGAAGATCGATAGCAGAAAAACAGTCTAAATATATATCTAAGTTTACATTAGCAAAAGTCCCTGAACTTGGAGAGCCACTGATAACTGTTGATGGCAGTTGGTGATTAATTTTCTCTCTAATAGTAATAATTTTATTGTGGAAGAAGCTCATAAAGTCGTTGCTACTTAAGTTTATGGGGATATGTGGCTCAGTAGAGCTGTGACTCTCTGTCAGCCTGGCTACAGTGCTGAAGAGGAACCTAGGGTTATTCTTATTTTCTTCTATTAGTGCTGAGTAATAGGCTCCTCTGGCATTACGGAGGGCCTTTCTATACGTTTTAAGATTATCTTGCCAAATTGAGGGATATTCTGATAATTTGGAAGAGTGCCATTTCCTTTCAGATTTCCTAGCTATTTGCTTTAACTGGCGGGTTTGGTTGTACCACGGTGCTAGTCTCCTATGTTTTAATAATTTCCTTTTTATAGGAGCGATAGAGTCTAATGTTGATCGTAGTGAGCCTGCAGCACTATCGACAAGATTATCAATTTCAGAGGGACTAAAGCTATTATAGGACTCTGTTAAATTCAGACATGGCATTGAATTAAACACTGAAGGAATCTCCTCCTTAAATTTAGCTACAGCACTGTCAGATAGACATCTGCTGTAGGAAGTTTTGCCTAATGGCTTATAATCTAATAGTATGAATACAAAAGTTATTAAATAATGGTCAGATAGGAAAGGATTATGTGGGAAGACTGTTAAATGTTCAATATCAATGCCATATGATAAAACAATGTCAAGAGTGTGATTAAAACAATGAGTTGGTTTATTTACACTCTGACAGAAGCCAATTGAGTCTATTAATGATATAAATGCATTACTAAGGCTGTCATTGTCAACATCCACATGAATATTAAAATCACCTACAATAATTACTTTATCTGATTTAAGGACTAAACTTGATAAAAACTCTGAGAATTCAGATATAAAATCAGAGTACGGTCCAGGAGCGCGGTACACTATAACAAATAGAACTGGCTGCAGTGTTTTCCAGTTTGGGTGAGAAAGACTAAGAACAAGGCTTTCAAATGAATTATAATTTAGTTTAGGTTTAGGGTCCATTAAAACACTCAAATCATATATGGCTGCTACTCCACCTCCTCGGCCAGTGCCTCGAGGAATGTGAGTATTAATATGACTAGGGGGGGTGGATTCATTTAGGCTAACATACTCCTCGTGGGACAACCAGGTCTCAGTAAGACAAAGTAAATCAATATCATAATCTGATATTAATTCATTCACTAAAACAGCTTTAGAGGACAGAGACCTGATATTTAACAGTCCACATTTCATTCTCTTATTTTGTGCTACTGAGGAGTTGGTTTAATTTTTATTAGATTTTTATGTTGAACTCCTCTTGTTTTTATTTCTTTAAATAATTTAGGTGGTTGGGGGACAGACACAGTCTCTATGGGGTTTTGGGTGGGTGACTGTTCTAAAGAAAGAGCAGAGAAGTGTGTAAGACAGCAGCTCTGCTTCCTGGTCCCAACTGTGGACTGTCAGGTTTTAGAAATAAACTTCGCCATATTTCTGGATAAGAGAGCCGCTCCATCCAAAGTGGGATGGATGCCGTCTCTCCTAATCAGACCAGGTTTTCCCCAAAAAGCCAGCAGTTTTAAATACGATTCAATGTCGCCCGCTCTGGCCCCAGGGATACATTTAACTATGGCCGCTGGCTTCACTAACTTCACGTTTCTGACTATGGAGCTGCCAATAATCAGAGTTGGTTCCTCAGCAGGTGTGTCGCTGAGTGGGGAAAATGTATAAGAAACATGAATGGGTTGGTGGTGAACTTTGGGCTTCGGTGTTTTAGTCTTCCTAGTCAGTCACCCAGCCTCCCTGGCTTCCCGGCTGCTCGGGAACTACCGGGGGAACTACCGGGGGACAGCTAACAGAAGCTACCTTCGGTCGGACCGCACCGGCTACTGGGGGCTGGTTAACTATAGCAGCTAAAAATATCTCTGTGGTGCGGTACTGTTCCTCTAACTCACTAAGCCTCGCCTCCAGCGCAGTAAATAAACTACACTTAATACATGAACCATTATCTTTAAAGGAGGCAGAGGAATAACTAAACATCTGACACACTGAGCAGGACAGAGGAGAGGGAGAGGGAGAAGCCATAGCTAACTGCTAATGCTAATGAAGCTAGAGTGTACGAAAAACTTTGAAAATAGCGAAAAGTCGCTAAAAGAAGGAGTAACTCCGAGTGCTAAGGTAGAACTAGTCTACATTTAAATGTTAAGCGTGAAAATAACCGCTGTAACGAGTAAAACTAATTTAGATTTAGCGTTCACTGACAGAGCTACAGCACCAAACAGTGTACACAGAGCAGGAAGTAAACCGGAAATGAGTCTGTACGCTTACCGTAGCACGTCACGTCACAAGCTCAAGTATTTACTCATTTACATAAAAGAACACAACGTGACAGAAAACGTTTCCTTCGCTCAGAGGCCATCCATACCATAATAACCCGGCCTGAGGCCACCCGTACCATAACCCATACCATAATAACCCGGCGTGTATGATCGCACCACGTGCGGCACGGTAATCTTTTCCTTTCCTGATCCGGTTCTACTGATCTGGTCCTAGTGATCTGGTTCTAATGACGCAAGAGAACATGTTTACTGATATCACATCATCATCAGAGCAAAATAAGTTCAATGTTTTTACCAATCAGAGATCAATATATTGATATATTTATGAGTTACCTGTAACAACTGCAGACAGTTTGAATTCACGGTGAAATGGAGATACATCTGCATCACAACCAGTTCTGAAACCGAAATTGACCTTTTAATTAATCCTAAACTAAATTATAATAGATTTAGTCCCTAAAACTGATAAAGTAATTATTGTAAGTGATTTTAATATTCATCTCAATAAAACTTTATTAATTTAAATAAAACTTTTTGGTTGCAAACATTATTTTAGTGATGTTGACATAAACAACATGGACTAGTTGGAGTAATCAACTTAAACACGTGTTTATGCTACCAATTATTGATTAATAACTGCTTTAACTGTGGAGGAAAAGCAGGTTCCCCGACCTCAGTGTGATACATTTGTTGAACATTTTGTGTCTACCTAAATATATATAGTATATTCTTTAATATCAGATTTTAAAAAACAATTTGTGCTTTTATTTCCAGTATATTGTTTCCGTCACATTACTGCCAGACTTTATATTTCTGCTGATTTCTGATCAATGATATAGATCTGAGTCATGTTCTGACTATTCACCTGTTTGTTAATAAAGTTTCCTCGTGCTGCTCTGAGGTCACTTTGATCTGTTTTTATTTAGAGGCATCGTAGCCAGAAGCTAACACTAGCTAGAGTCAGCATCACCTCACACACAGGTGTGTTAACTGCATCTGAGATTGACTGACAGCTCCCACAGCCTTTATAATAATAATGATAATAACTATGATAATAATAATGATAATAATAATAATAATAGTAACTATAATGATAATAGTAATAACTATAATAATAGTTATAATAACTATAATAATAATTATAGTAATTATATTAGTAATAATAATAATAGTAATAATAATAGAAATATTAATAATAATAATGATAATAATGAGTGGAGAGCTCCTTTAAATGAAGATTTGGCGCCCTCTGGTGTCACACACAGAAAGATTAGAGGTTACTGTAACATCCTGTTGAATACTGCACTGTGTACAAATACTTCATTACTGTACTTCAGTACTTCTTCAGGAGTATTTCTTTTTTTACAGTTTTATAAGAAACGCTATAATAATAATAATATTATAAATAAATATATAATATCTGAACTTTCTGCTTACAGTAACTGCAGCTTCTTACTGCAGTTATCTCAGACTTAAATTTTCAAAGAGAATTGAAGAATTTTGAAGAGAAAGTTGCTGCATAGGTTCCACCATCAGTGAACATTCAGAATATTTTCACTGCTGTCATACACAACTTTATTTATTAAAATTGTAGAACCACAGTAGCACACTTGGACTCATATATAAATGTAACAAACACTTAAACTAACATGAATTAAAGCTCCAGTGTGTATATGTTATTATATTTTTAGTATTATGCTAGTTGAATCTTTGTGTTTTCGTTACCTTAGAATGAGACGTGTTTATCTACAGAGGAAGTGGGTCCTCTTCTGGCAGAGTCCGCCATGTTGAACCACCATGTTTCTACAGTAGCCCAGAACGGACAAACCAAACACTGAATACAAATAGGAGCTTTTGCGTTTCCTGCACATTACCTGGCCACTATAATGGAAGGGGTGGGTGAGTTGCAATCTGAAACTACACCACTAGATGTTGCTAAATCTTATAGACTGGAGCTTTAAAATTCTGTTAAACATATTTATATAATTTTATTTCTGATGATGACTTTAATGTGAGCAGAGTCACTGTGGTGTCTATATGAAGCACTCCAGCAGGCGCTCATGATCCAACAGGAAGCTGTGTGTGTTTTATAAAATAAAATCTTATAAAATCATCTCTGTTGATGTCAGTCGCTGGTTTCCATTCAGTCTACGGTCCTGGACCTGGACCCTCCCGCCACTGATAAGAAGATAACCTTTGAGCGGGCGGCGGCGATCAGCTGACTTTATGGTTTTGTTTTGAGCAAAAACCACAAAGCAAAGACTCAGACAGAGCTGGATCAGTGCAGGTTTCAGGAGATCTGGTAGATTTTAAGAGCTCAGCAGGATGAAGAGGGGGACCCAGGCCAGACTGACAGGTCTCCACAATCCTGGACTAGAGCTGGAGATGACAGGAAGCAACAACCTGATCCACGTGAGTCTGAGCCAGAACCAGAACCACCTTTAATCTAATCTGCTGAGAGTCCCAGATGGTTTACTGATTATTTTTTATAATAATCAATAACACAAAGACTGATACATCAAACAGAAAATACTCTATGACAAGTAAAAGTACTGCATTCAGAACTTTACTTAAGTTAAGAGTATGTTAGTATTATGTGCAGTGAAAGTACTACATTCGGTGTCCTCAGGTCTCGGGGAGTCCTCAGGTCTTGGTGTGTCCTCAGGGGTCCAGGTCTTCAGTGTCAGCGGCAGTGAAGGCTGGAGTCCGGTGGGCGTCATACTCCTGCAGCCGCTGGAAGCAGAGAAGAAAAAAGCTGACAGGTGACACACACACAGAGTCTGTGGTTTGAGGAACATGTGGATTTATTACAGGTAAAACTCTGATGTTCAATACTCAGGTGTTCAACTGGAGATCAGATACAGTGGTCTGGCTGAGGATCATGAAGATGATGAAGATCAGCGAGACGAAACCGACACAACGAATAAAAACCAACATCTGAATAAAAAACTGCTGAATCACTTCAGGCAGCTGGCTGCAACCAACCACGACTCTGACCAGGTAACACCGACCAGATAACATTGACCGGGTAACACCGACCGGGTAACACCGACCAAGTAACATTGACCAGGTAACATTGATCAGTGTTTTACAATGTGTCCTATCAGTGGGGAAGGGTTAGGTGGAGGGTAAGGGTTTGGCTTGTATCCATTAATTTAAAAAACTCCTGAACCTGTGAGTGTTTGCGCAGGTGGACCTTCAGTTTCTGGATCAGGTGATCTCAGACGGAGCTGATCCCAACAGTTCAGACAGATACGGACAGACCATCCTGCATGAGGTCAACACAGGATTTATTCTACACTTTGTTTGTTTCACTACTAACATTCACAACTACTACAGACCACATTGTAAAGAATCAGGTTCAGTTATACACCTTTATTGTACTTTATAGTACTACTATAGGTTTTATATAGTACTACTACAGGTTTAATATAGTACAACTACAGGTTTAATATAGTACTACTACAGGTTTAATATAGTACAACTACAGGTTTAATATAGAACTACTATAGGTTTAATATAGAACTACTACAGGTTTAATATAGTACTACTACAGGTTTACTGCAGTACTACTACAGGTTTTATATAGTAATACTACAGGTTTTATATAGTACTACTACAGGTTTAATATATTACTACTACAGGTTTACTGCAATACTACTACAGGTTTTATATAGTACTACTACAGGTTTAATATAGAACTACTAAAGGTTTAATATAGAACTACTATAGGTTTAATATAGAACTACTAAAGGTTTAATATAGTACTACTACAGGTTTAATATAGAACTACTACAGGTTTAATATAGTACTACTACAGGTTTAATATAGAACTACTAAAGGTTTAATATAGAACTACTATAGGTTTAAGATAATACTACTACAGGTTTACTGCAGTTCTACTTCAGGTTTAATATATTACTACTACAGGTTTAATATAGTACTACTACAGGTTTAATATAGAACTACTACAGGTTTAATGCAGTACTACTACTGGTTTAATACAGTACTACTACAGGTTTAATATAGTACTACTACAGGTTTTATATGGGCACTACTACAGGTTTAATATAGACCTTTATTGTATTACTTAATTTTAACACTGTGACACTGCGCTGTAGAGTAACGGTAAAGTCAGTTTCTTGTCCCGTCCGACTCTGATCTGCTATCTGGTTTAGTGTTTTATTGTAAATCTGGAGACAACCTGCCTTCTGTCTGATGAAGGTTCTGTTTTAGGTCTCCAGGGCATGGAGTGTGGATGTGATGCGGTTCTTCTTGGACCGGGGCTCAGACCTCCACCGGCCAGATCAGTTTGGTATCACTGCGCTTCATGTGGCCTCAGCTCTGGACTACCAGGACATGGTTCAGTTCCTGCTGGACCAAAAAGGTCTTTGTGGAGTCCAGAAGGGTGTTAAAGGACATGTTGTTGTTGTAGTTTGTGTGTCTTTTAGTATGAGGGTCCTCTGTAGGGGAGGGAACTCTCATAATCCATCTAAAATCCTGCCCCCTTTTCAATCTAGTCTCTGGTGTTTCTGCTGCTGAAACATTTAAAAAAATCTCTTTTTAATGAAGACAAACTACAATAAAGTTTTAATAGTCTACTAATGGCAAATACTCATCAAGCTGTAGTTATTGATCAATAGGTATGTGTTGTCCTCAGCTGATCCAGAGGCTCGGACTCTTCTGGACCAGCAAACCCCTCTTCACTACGCTGCCAAAAACGAAGCCATCGGTTCCATCAGACTGCTGCTGCAGAACGGAGCCTCCATCAGCTGCACCGACTACAAACACAGAACGCCATTGCAGCTCGCCGCCAACATGGGTACTCTGACATTACTCTGACATCACTCTGACATCACACTGACATCACTCTGACATCACACTGACATGTATCTGTTTTTAGAGCGAAATGAAGCAGCTCGGCTGTTGTTGGAACTTGGGGCAGAGGCAGGGATGAAAGACTCTGACGGACAGCTCTGTATAACCGCTCTGATTGGTCGGATGAGTCCAGTGGTAACAATTTCCTACAGGCTGTGATTAGTCCAAAAAACAACTTTTCAATATTGTTGTTTCTCTGTATGTTGGCCAGAGGCGATAAAACATTGTCGAACAGAATAAAACAGTGTAGATGTTGGTATTGATGATGGTTGTATGATGTCTTCAGGCGCTGCTGGCGCTCAACCAGTTCCATGTGACTGACAGAATGACCAGACAGCAGTACTACTACCTGAACCTGCTGGAACCAGAACCACACTCACCTAAGACCCCCCTGCAAGGTAACACTACAACTACAGGTTTAATATAGTACTACTACAGGTTTTATATAGTACTACTACAGGTTTAATATAGTACTACTACAGGTTTTATATAGTACTACTACAGGTTTAATATAGTACTACTACAGGTTTTATATAGTACTACTACAGGTTTAATATAGTACTACTACAGGTTTAATATAGTACTACTACAGGTTTTATATAGAACTACTACAGGTTTAATATATTAGTACTACAGGTTTTATATAGTACTACTACAGGTTTACTTCAGTACTACTACAGGTTTTATATATTACTACTACAGGTTTACTGCAATACTACTACAGGTTTTATATAGTACTACTCAGTGTTTCCTCTAGGATTTTTTTGAGCAGTGGGGGCAGGCCCGTCCGAACACCCACCCCCTCCCGTCCCGTCCCGTCCCGTGACGCCCCCCCCGCCCCCCCGTCCTGTCGGCAAACACGTATGAAACAGAAGTGACACTTCGCTGCGACACAAACAAATATATATATACCGTTTTAATGTTTCCAGATGTTTGATATCAGGACGTTGAGCTGAGAACTGACAAGTTGAACGCTGTCCAATTAAAACGGACCCACCGTGGTGACGTTTTTGGAGGAGCTGTTAGTTCAATGGTCGACTTGGAAGAAAGCGAACGTTTTGACAATAAGCTACATCAACACAACAGTATGTGGAGTTAAACTGAACAGCCCCAATAACCTCTGAATAGTTTTCTTGTTGTTAAATTGCAATGTGAGCGGCAGCCAATGGGGGTACTTTATGTCGGCAGGATCATTTAAAAGGCAATCGCGACTACATTGTGCGTCTGCCCCATTTCTGATACCGTGGCGGCAGAAATTTAACAGCGGCGGGCCGCCGCTCCAAAGTCAACATAGAGCAAACACTGCTACTACAGGTTTAATATAGTACTACTACAGGTTTACTGCAGTACTACAACAAGTTCAATATATTACTACTACAGGTTTACTGCAGTACTACTACAGGTTTAATAAAGTACTACTATGAACACCTGAATGCTAACATTACATAAATAGCTAGCAGAAAAGTGAATAACTGGCTAATTATCAACTTACTGTATTTCAACTATTTATCCATAACTTCTTATAATAATGCTTAAAGGGCACATATTATGCAAAACCAACTTTTTAATCATTTGATTATGTACATTTGGGACTCTGGAGGGCCTATCAGCAGGCCAAGTGTGAAAAAAAATGACTCAGTCATGTTTTTGTGGGCTGCCTCAGTCAAAATACAGGAGATAAAGCAGTCTGTTCAGATTTTCCCCGTTAATGACATTTTCCCCGTTACTGACGTCAGTTATGTTGCCACCCACCACAGTTTACTTCCTTCTTGACTATCGGAGCTCCGCCATTGTCACTATAAAAGAGCAAGCTAGCGGAGAACAAGCAAGCAGGCCAGCCAGCAGCCTGCCGCTTGCAGCCTGCCAGCCTAATGTCTGGGCAAAGGCTTCAGCAGACTGTTCAGTCATTGGCTGCACAGCCCAACACTAATTTACATACGTATAAGCACAGTGGATTTATTTTTATTTTTGACCGCAATGTCTGGCTAGAGTCGGAAAAACCAGAACGTGTGTGTGAACCTTCCTGTCGGACTGTTTTCACAACTACGGTCAGTACAACACTGGCCTGGCTGAAAGACTATTCCTGAAAGAGGGATTGTACCAACTGTCTGTGGAGAGACGGCAGAGGAAGTAACTGTGGATTGTACCAACTGTCTGTGGAGAGACGGCAGAGGAAGTCACTGTAAGTATTTTTAAGAATTGATGCTTTGTTTTTCATTGTTCGTGTACCGCTAGCACATGCTAACTGTTGTTAGCTACAGGAGCGTCGGTGAAGCTAACGTTATTGTTTGTTAAATGTTTGTTAAATGTTTGCAAGATGAACATGAAACTTATAAGGTGAGGTTAATTTATTAAGCCAGCTGGTGCAGATTATTTTTTATAGATTCACACGAAGTTTATTCCGTGAGTCACCAAGCTTCGTGCCGGGGGGGCTCCGTAACTGTTGTGGGTTTTGTGACCGGGCTGAATTGGCTTTATGTTCGTCTGTATTTTGTTAAACGTGCTCAGTAAGTAATGTTTGTGTCGCTGTTAGAAAGAGCAGAAAACCTCCGAGTGAACAAACTGTAGCCGCTCATCAGCTGTTAGCTCGTTGAGCTGCATAGAACAGGTAAGATAACGTTAGATAAGTTTAATTGTCTTTAACCTGGTAACTTACAAATCTGCTGGGTAGCTAAGTATCTGTTCACCGTCTGGATCAATACAGCTGTGATCAGAAGAAGACACTGTACTTATACCGTATATAAATTCAGCAGCGGAGGTCATTAGTTTGGTAGGATTGTAGCTTTGATTTCACTGTGTTACTATAGTTACTGAGTCTGTCGGACTTTATGTTATATATGTATATATATATAATATGAGGGACAGTGTGATCGTTAACCTTCGTCAGAAGCTACCAAAATACCAGGAGTGAGTTATGGTGATTCTTTTCTGTTTGTGTAACTTGCTAACGTGCTAACAGGCTGGGCCTACCTGCGTTGTTTTCTGTGTGTGTGTTATGGTGTGTGTGTGTGTGTGTGTGTGTGTGTGTGTGTGTGTTTACAGTGTGTAAATGAACTTGATCTACGTGCACTGGAGTTAACGATGGAGCTACTGTGAGAGAAATGGTCAAACTGCAGGGATTCATTAGTTTAGTAATATTGTGTAACTACGACACTCACTAGGCTGTTTTATGGAGTCAGACACTTAGGACTTAGGACTACTTCGAGCCACAATGAGCTGTTGTACTTGTATTATATTATACTGTATATTATATGCTGCCTTACAAGTAACACTGAATCTGCCTTGTTTTACAGGTGACCTGATGAAGCTCAGGTGTTCCTGGACCCATCAGAGGACAGAGACAGCTGCAGCATCAGGACAGTCTGAAGGACACGATCTGCACAGTTTACATAAAAGTTATAGCTTTGTTACTTACAACATGTGTAACTAGAATATGAATTAAACATAAATAAAGTGTTTTACTTTTAAGAAGAGTTTTGGTCATTTTTAAACTCAGTAATAAGTGTGGTTTTATATAAATAACATGTTATTTCACAGAGGTTTTATGAAGATTTCCTGCATGTACGAGTTGAAAACCTGGTTTGTGTAACATCTATCAATATGAAAATGTTAAACCTGTATTAATGACTTAAGGAACACAATACATTACTGTCTCACATTCAAACATTATTACGTTGGAAGATAAATGACATGACAATATATAATAAATGATAGAATATTCAGTACATATACAGTATTTTTAATGGGGTTCAGTTATGTTGACATGTTGTACAGGATACAGGATATAGAAGTATTGCAGGCATATAATATGTTTAACTTCACTGGGCTCTGTAGACTGTAGGTCACTGCTCACTGCTGTACCTGTAAAGACAAGCATAAAACACAGTGTTGGTTCTCATAGTTAAGGTATAAACACTTACATTATGTGATAGATAGAGGTTTTTATAGCAGTATTTACCTGAGGAAAACGTCACAGAAAGCTGTAATCCTGATTGTTGATGTTATTCATTTCTCCGTGATTTCAGGTCAGACTCCCGCTCTAACATGTCCGGTGGTGAACTTTTTGGTTTAGAAGCAGTTATTGAATTAATATTGACGGTAGAAATGCAGCTAAACTCAGTAGCAGTGAGGAGCTAACTGCCGGCAACGCTGAGACAGAAGTGGGAGGGGCCGGAGCGTCATCTGCGTGAACTGCGGTACGAGTTTTTTGGGGAAAACCTGGTCTGATTAGGAGAGACGGCATCCATCCCACTTTGGATGGAGCGGCTCTCTTATCTAGCAACATGGCGAAGTTTATTTCTAAAACCTGACAGTCCAGAGTTGGGACCAGGAAGCAGAGCTGCTGTCTTACACACTTCTCTGCGCTTTCTTTAGAACAATCACCCACCCAAAACCCCATAGAGACTGTGTCTGTCCCCAGACCACCTAAATTATTTAAAGAAATAAAAACGAGGAGTTCAACATAAAAATCTAATAAAAATTAAAACCAACTCCTCAGTAGCACAAAATAAGAGAATGAAATGTGGGCTGTTAAATATCAGGTCTCTGTCCTCTAAAGCTGTTTTAGTGAATGAATTAATATCAGATTATGATATTGATTTACTTTGTCTTACTGAGACCTGGTTGTCCCACGAGGAGTATGTTAGCCTAAATGAATGCACCCCCCCAGTCATATTAATACTCACATTCCTCGAGGCACTGGCCAAGGAGGTGGAGTAGCAGCCATATATGATTCGAGCATTTTAATGGACCCTAAACCTAAACTAAATTATAATTCATTTGAAAGCCTTGTTCTTAGTCTTTCTCACCCAAACTGGAAAACACTGCAGCCAGTTCTATTTGTTATAGTGTACCGCGCTCCTGGACCGTACTCTGATTTTATATCGGAATTCTCAGAGTTTTTATCAAGTTTAGTCCTTAAATCAGATAAAGTAATTATTGTAGGTGATTTTAATATTCATGTGGATGTTAACAATGACAGCCTTAGTAATGCATTTATATCATTAATAGACTCAATTGGCTTCTGTCAGAGTGTAAATAAACCAACTCATTGTTTTAATCACACTCTTGAACTTGTTCTATCATATGGCATTGATATTGAACATTTAATAGTCTTCCCACATAATCCTTTCCTATCTGACCATTATTTAATAACTTTTGAATTCATACTATTAGATTATAAGCCATTAGGCAAAACTTCCTACAGCAGATGTCTATCTGACAGTGCTGTAGCTAAATTTAAGGAGGAGATTCCTTCAGTGTTTAATTCAATGCCATGTCTGAATTTAACAGAGTCCTATAATGACTTTAGTCCCTCTGAAATTGATAATCTTGTCGATAGTGCTACAGGCTCACTACGATCAACATTAGACTCTATCGCTCCTATAAAAAGGAAATTATTAAAACATAGGAGATTAGCACCTTGGTACAACCACCAAACCCGCCAGTTAAAACAAATAGCTAGGAAATCTGAAAGGAAATGGCGCTCTTCCAAATTATCAGAATATCGCTCAATTTGGCATAATAATCTTAAAACTTATAGAAAGGCCCTCCGTAATGCCAGAGGAGCCTATTACTCAGCACTAATAGAAGGAAATAAGAATAACCCTAGGTTCCTCTTCAGCACTGTAGCCAGGCTGACAGAGAGTCACAGCTCTATTGAGCCACATATCCCCATAAACTTAAGTAGCAATGACTTCATGAGCTTCTTCTATAATAAAATTATTATTATTAGAGAGAAAATTAATCACCAACTGCCATCAACAGCTATCAGTGGCTCTCCAAGTTCAGGGACTTTTGCTAATGTAAACTTAGATATATATTTAGACTGTTTTTCTGCTATCGATCTTCATCAGTTAACTTCAATAATTTCTTCATCGAAGCCATCAACCTGTCTATTGGACCCGATCCCAACTAGACTGCTTAAAGAAGTTGTTCCCTTAATTGGCACTTCTTTACTGGATATGATTAATCTTTCTTTATTACCAGGATATGTACCACAGTCCTTTAAAGTAGCTGTAATTAAACCCCTTCTTTCTAACCTCCCCTTCTGGAGAAAGTAGTCGCCAAAGAGTTGTGTGACTTTCTACATAACAATAGTTTATTTGAGGAGTTCATCACAGCACTGAGACAGCTCTGGTTAAAGTTAATTATGACCTTCTGATTGCTTCTGACAATGGACTTCTCTGTACTTGTATTATTAGATCTTAGTGCTGCATTTGACACCATTGACCATAATATTCTTTTACAGAGACTTGAGCATCAAATTGGCATTAAAGGAACCGCACTAAGCTGGTTTAAGTCATATTTATCAGATTGCTCGCAGTTTGTACATGTTAACGATGAATCTTCAATAAATACTACAGTTAGTCATGGAGTTCCACAAGGTTCTGTACTTGGACCAATACTATCTACTTTATATATGCTCCCTTTAGGCAACATTATTAGGAATCACTCCATTAACTTTCACTGTTATGCAGATGATACGCAGTTATATCTATCAATCAAGCCCAATGAAATTAATCAATTATCTAAATTACAAACATGTCTTAAGGACATAAAATCCTGGATGACCTGCAATTTTCTGATGTTAAACTCAGAAAAAAACGAAATTCTTGTTCTTGGCCCCAAAAACCTTAGAGACTCACTGTCTAAAGATATAGTTACTCTAGATGGCATTACCTTGGCCTCTAGCACCACTGTCAGGAATCTTGGAGTTATCTTTGATCAGGATTTGTCATTTAACTCCCACATAAAGCAGACCTGTAGGACTGCCTTCTTTCATTTACGTAATATTACAAAAATTAGACCCATACTATCACAGACAGATGCAGAAAAACTAATCCATGCATTTGTTACTTCAAGGCTGGATTACTGCAACTCTTTATTATCAGGTTGCCCCAATAAGTCCATTAAAACGCTCCAATTAATTCAGAACGCTGCAGCACGAGTACTGACAGGAACTAGAAAAAGAGATCACATCTCTCCTGTACTAGCTTCTCTGCATTGGCTCCCTGTAAAATGTAGAATAGAATTTAAAATCCTCCTCCTCACCTATAAAGCTCTTCATGGTCAGGCCCCTTCATATCTTAAAGAGCTCATAGTACCCTATTACCCCACTAGAACACTACGTTCTCTGAATGCTGGGCTACTTGTGGTTCCTATAGTCTCTAAAAAGTAGAACAGGAGCCAGAGCCTTCAGTTACCAAGCTCCTCTCCTGTGGAACCAGCTTCCAGTTGTGGTTCGGGAAGCAGACACCCTCACCACATTCAAGAGTAGGCTTAAGACATTCCTCTTTGATAAAGCTTATAGTTAGGGCTGGATCAGGTGAGTCCTGAACCATCCCTTAGTTCTGCTGCTATAGGCCTAGACTATCGGGGGATTTCCCATGGTGCACTGAGCTCCTCCCTTCCTCTCTCTTTCTGCACTCATTCATGTTCCATTAATGCATGTTACTAACTTCACTTCTTCCCCGGAGTTCTTGTGCTTTCTCGTCTCGCAGGTTCTTATCGATCCTGGTGGAGCCTCCTGCCATGGTCCTGCTAGATTGCCATTGCCAGTACTGTTGTTGCTGTGCACCTGTCTTTCTGTCTGTCTCTCGCTCTCTCTCTCTCTCTCTCTCTGTCTCTCTCTCTCTCACCCCAACTGGTCGAGACAGACGACCGCCCACCTAGAGCCGAAGGATCTGCCCTAGGTTTCTGCCTTTTAACAGGCAGTTTTTCCTTGCCCTTGTCGCCAAGTGCTTGCTCATGGTGGTACTGTTGGGTCTCTGTAGAGTTCGGTCTAGACCTGCTCTATTTGAAAAGTGTCCTGAGATAACTTCTGTTATGAATTGGCGCTATACAAATAAAATTGAATTGAATTGAATTGAATTAAAAGTAGTGTAGTGTATAAATACTGTAGATTGCTTTAAGTAAGATAGGAAACAGTTAACTAAAAGAATGGTGAAAAAGCTAATGGTAATGTATAAATGGCTGGAATGTTCAGATGTAAATGCCTCCAAACTGACCTAAACATCTACAGTTCAACCGTAAAAATTAAAACGTTAGAACCTACTTGTCACAGGACTGTGACTGACTGACATTAGAGAGAAATGTTGGGAGCCACTGATCTACGGGACCCCTAGTAGCCCAACACTACTAGTACTGTCTCACTAGCTGAAGTGTCTGTCTGACTCCACCTGTCTGTCTGACTGACTGTCTGTTGTGTTTTGTAGAAGCAGTCATCAGTGAGCCAACGTCTCCAGTAAGTTCAGTTTATTGGCCAACTATGTGTACCTGTGCAAGGAATTATACTATGGTTTGTCACTGTAATACGCCATGAACAATGAGCAGTATAAAATATACAGTGTATAGTGAACAGTGTATAGTGAACAGTGTACAGTGAACAGTATATAGTGAACTAGGTTTGTGCCTCTTAACAGGCAGTTGTTCCTTGCCCCCATCGCCAAGTGCTTGCACATGGTGGTACTGTTGGGTCTCTGTAAATGTTATAAGGAGTGCGGTCTAGACCTGCTCCATTTTGAAAAGTGTCCTGAGATAACTTCTGTTATGAATTGGCGCTATACAAATAAAATTGAATTGAATTGAACAGTGTACAGTGAACAGTATACAGCGAACAGTATATAGTGAACATTGTGTAGTGAACAGTATACAGTGAACAGTGTACAGTGTATAGTGAACAGTATGAAGTGAACAGTGTATGGTTAACAGTTTATAGTGAACAGTTAATAGTGTATCGTGAAGAGTATACAGGGAACAGTGTATAGTGAACAGTATACAGGGAACAGTGTACAGTGTACAGTGTACAGCATACAGTATACAGTGAACAGTATAGAGTGAACAGTATACAGGTAACAGTGTACAGTATACAGTGAACAGTATACAGTGAACAGCATACAGTATACAGTGAACATCGTACAGTGAACAGTGTATAGTGAACAGTGTAGAGTGAACATTGAACAGTGAACAGCATACAGTATACAGTGAACAGTGTACAGTGAACATCGTACAGTGAACATCGTACAGTTAACACTGTACAGTGAACAGGGTAACACTTTATAATGAGTACACACAATTAAGCATTAGTTAAGCATTAATAAATACTGAATTCATCATTTATAACGCATTATTCTGACATGAATACACATTAGTATGTAGTTTATAAACCCAGTTATAAATGTTTTACTCTTCATTAATAAGCTCATCAATAACGTGCTAATGATTGCATTTTCATATTTTATATATGATGGATTCAGCATTTCTAAATCAAGTATTACATCACTTACTAACCAGTTATTAAGGATTTGTCAGTGGTTTGTAATATCATTTAGAAAGTGTATGTAAATGATGAACAAACTATTTAGATGTACATTTCTGCATGCACTTGCACATCCACTATTCAGACATGTATTAATGATTAGTGACTGTGTTAGCAGATGTTCTATAAACACAACAAATTCATTTTCTAATGATGGCCTAAAACAGTTATTAATGCAGGAATTCAAAGTTACAAAGCACTTACTACTCGTTAATTAAGTATTTTGCGCGAGCTCATCTAAAGTGAGCACTATCTATGGCTTATTAAGGATTTACAAATGAGATATAAAGGCTGACAATGCCTCAAGACTCACAAAATGTTCAGTTATCTTAACAGACGAAGGAGAGACACAACACAAAGGGATATAGAACATATTGTATTGATATTTATTGCAACTTCCCAACATATTGTATAAAGACGAACAAGGGTGGTTTATGAAGACATGCTATTGTTGTGATCTTATCTGTTTGGGACGTGTACGTTGAGCTTCAGCACGTCATCAAAGTGATGACGGTGGGAGGCGGCAACATTTTACGTTCATATTTACGTTAACTCTCAGAAGTTTCTGAGAGTGCAGCCAAGAGAAGCACTGAGAAGTCTGGCCTAAATCGACGAGTCAGGCAGACGCGGGCCAATAAGAATGGCAGTGTTGGGATGGATACAATGGAGTCGGTGGCCGTCAGCGGCACTAGTGGTGAGTATGTGTTAGCTAGCACACATTATGGATGAAAGCTAATGTTAGCTTGTCAGCAGCTGAAGGCGTTTGCTCTCGCTCCCCGACTAACGTTGCTACCAACCCGCCCGCGGTGGCTAAGCCGACCTGCCTGCATTTATCATTATCACTTTGAATATTTTCCTAAAAGTTTTTTTTTTAACTTGTAGTGTTGTCGCCGCGGGTAAAGTCAGTCTCGTCTAGCCGGGTGAGGTGAGAGCCTAGCAGCGGCAGGTAGGCTTAGCCACCGTTAGTCGGGGAGCTTTCATCCATAATGTGTGCTAGCAAACAAAGACACATACTCACCACTAGTGCCGCTGACGGCCGCCGACTCTAGTGTATCCATCCCCACACCGCCATTCTTATTGGCCCGTGTCCGCCTGACTTGCCGATTTAGGCCAGACTTCTCGGTGCTTCTCTTGGCTGCAGAGTTAATGTAAATATGAACGTAAAATGTTGCCGCCTCCCACCGTCATCACTTTGATGACGTGCTGAGAGCGGGATTGCAAGCTCAATGTACACATCCCAAACAGATAAGATCACAACAATAGCATGTCTTCATAAACCACCCTTGTTCATCTTTATACAATATGTTGGGAAGTTGCAATAAATATCAATACAATATGTTCTATATCCCTTTGTGTTGTGTCTCTCCTTCGTCTGTTAAGATAACTGAAAACTTTGTGAGTCTTGAGGCATTGTCAGCCTTTATATCTCATTTGTAAATGCTTTATAATCCATAGATAGTGCTCACTTTAGATGAGCTCACACAAAATACATAATTAACAAGTAGTAAGTTCATAACTGCCTCAATTCATGAATTCCTGCATTAATAGCTGTTTATAGGACATCAATGGAAATGAATTTGTGAGTTTTTTATGGAACATCTGCTAACACAGTTACTAATCATTAATACATGTCTGAATATTGGATGTGCAAGTGCATGCAGAAATGTACATCTAAATAGTTTGTTCATCATTTACATACACTTTCTAAATGATATTACAAACCACTGACAAATCCTAAATAACTGGTTAGTAAGTGATGTAATACTTGATTTAGAAATGCTGAATAAAATATGATAATGCAATCATTAGCATGTTATAGATGAGCTTATTAATGAAGAGTAAAACATTTATAACTGTGATTATAAACCACATAGTAATAAGTATCTATGGCAGGAACATGCTTTATAAATGATGAATTCAGTATTTACTAATCCATAACTTATGTGCTTATCAATGATGAATAAACATTTTTAACTGTGTTTATAAACTACATATTAATGTGTATTCAAAAAATGCGTTATAAATGATGAATTCAGTATTTATTAATGCTTAACTTATTGCTTAATAGTGTGTACTCATTATAAAGTGTTAGCGTGAACGGTGTACAGTGTACAGTGAACAGCATACAGCATACAGTGAACAGTGTACAGTGTACAGTAAACAGTGAACAGTGTACAGTGAACAATGAACAGTGTACAGTGAACAGTATACAGTGAACAGCGTACAGTGTACAGTGAACAGTGAACAGCATACAGTGAACAGTGAACAGTGAACAGCATACAGTGAACAGTATACAGTGAACAGTGTACAGTGTACATTGAACAGCGTACAATATACAGTGAACAGTGAACAGTGTACAGTGTACAGTGAACAGCATACAGTACCGTAATTTCCGGACTATAAGATGCTACTTTTTCCACACGCTTTGAACCCTGCGGCTTAAACAATGATGCGGCTTATCTATAGATTTGGTAACACTTTATAATGAGTACACACTATTAAGCATTAGTTAAGCATGAATAAATACTGAATTCATCATTTATAACGCATGAATACACATTAGTATGTAGTTTATAAACACAGTTAAAAATGTTTTATTCATCATTGATAAGCACATTAGTTATGGATTAGTAAATACTGTATTCATCATTTATAAAGCATGTTTCTGCTGTAAATAGTCATTACTATGTGGTTTATAATCACAGTTATAAATGTTTTACTCTTCATTGTACTGTACATTTCTGCATGCACTTGCACATCCACTATTCAGACATGTATTAATGATTAGTGACTGTGTTAGCAGATGTTCTATAAAACTCATTTTCTAATGATGGCCTATAAACAGTTATTAATGCAGGAATTCACAGTTACAAAGCACTTACTACTCGTTAATTAAGTATTTTGCGCGAGCTCATCTAAAGTGAGCACTATCTATGGCTTATTAAGCATTTACAAATGAGATATAAAGGCTGACAATGCCTCGAGACTCACAAAATGTTCAGTTATCTTAACAGACGAAGGAGAGACACAACACAAAGGAATATAGAACATATTGTATTGATATTTACTGCAACTTCCCAACATATTATATAAAGATGAACAAGGGTGGTTTATGAAGACATGCTATTGTTGTGATCTTATCTGTTTGGGATGTGTACATTGAGCTTGCAATCCCGCTCTCAGCACGTCATCAAAGTGATGACGGTGGGAGGCGGCAACATTAATTAATAATTTAATTAAGTAATTTAGTTGGTGCGGCTTATATTCAGGTGCGCTCAATAGTCCGGAAATTACGGTATACAGTATACAGTGAACAGCGTACAGTGAACAGTGAACAGTGAACTATATATTAACTGTGTGGTTCCTGTGTGGTCAGCTGGAAGTGGTGGTGCAGCAGAACAAACTGGACCTCGTCATGAATCCAGTCTTTCTGAAACTAATTCAGATAAAATGGAAACTGTACGGCAGGTAAACTACACTCCTAAGTAATATTTTGATTGATTTATAATTACATCATTCAACTCAACCTGTCTGTCTGCCAGGCTGGGGGCGTGGATTCTCCTCATCCTCAACTTTCTGTTCAATATCTCCTGGACGACCGTAGCCATCTCTGTGTCCGTCCACCGAGACTCACCTGATCGCTACGTCCTTCCCCAGGTCTGTCTGTCTGTATGTCTGTCTGTCTGTCTGTCTGTCCGTTTATCGACCTGTCTCTCACCTGTCTGTCTCACCTGTCTCTCTGTACCTGTCTGTCTGTCGACTTGTCTGTCTCTCTCTGTCTGTTTCTGAACCTGTCTGTCTGTCTATTCCTGTCTGTTTCTTAACGTGTCTATCTGTCTATCTATACCTGCCTGCCTGTCTGTCTGTCTACCTGCCTTTTTCTGTCTACCTGTCTGTCTGCTTTTCTCTGTCTGTCTGTCTTTCTACCTGTGTGTCAGTCTTTATCTTTACCTGTTTTTTTCTCAACCTGTCTCTCCACCGGTCTCTCCATCTGTTTCTCTGTCTCCAGCTGTCTGTTTCTCAACCTGTCTGTCTCTTTCTCCACCTGTCTGTTTTTCTGTCTTTCTACCTGTCTGTCTCTGTCTCCACCTGTCTGTTTCTCAACCTGTCTGTCTGTCTGTTTTTCTGTCTCTCTACCTGTCTCTCTCTGTCGCCACCTGTCTGTCTCTGTCTCTACCTGTCTGTTTCTCAGCGTGTCTATTTGTCTATCTCTACCTGTCAGTTTCTCAACGTGTCTATTTGTCTATCTCTACCTGTCTGTCCCTCTAATAATAATAATAATAATAATAATAATACATTTTATTTGTAAGTGCTTTTCTGAATACTCAAAGACACTTTACATAAAATCATAACAGCAGCAAAAACAACTCAAATAGTAAAAACACTAAAAACACATTGGACTAAGCCAAACAATTTTAAAAAGGTGAGTTTTTGTCAATGATTTGAACGCTGGAAGGTCGGTGCAGTCAAACAGCATTTGTTTGGGGAGAGAGTTCCGGGGGGGGGGGAGAGAAGGCTCTGTCGCCCCAGGTTCAGTGCTTGGTCCTGGGTGGTGGATTCAGGAGGTTTGCATCAGATGAGTGGAGGCTACGGGATGGGTTGTGGCGGTGGAGCAGGTCAGTGAGGTAGGAAGGGGTCTGGTTATGGAGGACTTTGTGTGTGAGGAGGAGGATTTTGAATTGAATCCGTTGTGGGACCGGGAGCCAGTGGAGGTTCTGGAGGACAGGGGTAATGTGGTCACGGGTACGGGTGTGAGTGAGCAGACGAGCAGCAGAGTTCTGGATGTACTGGAGTTTATTTAAGGTTTTGGATGGTGTGCCGTACAGGATGCTGTTGCAGTAGTCAATTCTGGAGGTGATCAGAATCAGAATCAGAATCACTTTAATAATCCCAGGGGGAAATTATTTTCGTTACAACACTCCAGATATACAAACAACATATTATACAAACAACATATATATATACAACATTCAGCACAAAAAAATATAAATATATATATATAACTATATATATATACAAGATCAAATGTACAGTATTAATGTGCAAAAGTGCAAAAGAATAATAGTCTACGTTTTGAGTTCAGAATTGCAGAGGGGGGGTGTCTGACTCTCTGAGGGAGGCGTTGTAGAGATTGATGACCACAGGCAGGAATGATTTCCTGTGGCGCTCTGTGGTGCATCTGGGTGAGAGGAGTCTTCTGCTGAAGGTGCTCCTCTGCTGGGCCAGTGTGTCGTAGAGAGGGTGAGAGACATTGTCCAAGATGGACTGAAGCCTGGACAGCATCTTCCTCTCTGCCACGGTCGTCAGGGTGTCCAGCTCCTCCCCTACGACATCACCAGCCCTCCTGATCAATTTGTTTAGTCTGTTGTTATCAGCGACCCTCAGCCCACTGCCCCAGCATGTGACAGCGAAGAAGATCGTACTGGCCACAACAGACTCATAGAACATCCTCAGCATCGTCTGGCAGATGTTAAAGGACCTCAGCCTCCTTAGGAAAAAGAGTCGGCTTTGGCCCTTTTTGTAGACAGCCTCAGTGTTTCTAGTCCAGTCCAGCTTATCATTAAAGTACACCCCCAGGTATTTATACACCTCCACAGTGTCCACAGGGACCCCCTGGATGGAAACAGGGGTCACTGGTGTTTTTGCCCTCCTCAGATCCACAATGAGCTCCTTCGTCTTTGTCACATTGAGCTGTAGATGGTTCAGCTAAGTCCAAGTGACAAAGTTGCCCACAACAGTCCTGTATTCACTGTCATCACCCTTATCTATGCAGCCAACTATTGCTGAGTCATCAGAAAATTCTGAAGGTGACAGGACTCGGTGCAATAGTTGAAGTCTGAGGTGAAGAGGGTGAAGAGGAAGGGAGAGAGGACAGTCCCCTGTGGGGCCCCAGTGTTGTGGACCACCCTGTCAGACACACAGTTCTGTAGGCGTACGTACTGCGGTCTGCCCGTCAGGTAATCAACAATCCAGGACACGATTGGGGCCTCCACCTGCATCGCAGCCATCTTCTCACCCAGTAGAGCCGGACGGATGGTATTGAAAGCACTGGAGAAATCAAAGAACATGACTCTCACAGTGCTCGCCGGCTTATCCAGATGAGTGTAGACTCTGTTCAGCAGGTAGATGATGCTGTCCTCAACTCCCAGGTGGGGCTGGTAGGCGAACTGCAGTGGATCAGTGAAGGGCCTGACCATAGGCCTTAGCTGCTCCAGGACGAGTCTCTCCAGGGTCTTCATGATATGGGACGTCAGAGCCACCGGTCTGTAGTCCTTAGGGCCGCTGGGACGTGGCGTCTTTGGCACGGGAACGAGGCAGGACGTCTTCCACAGCACGGGGACCCTCTGGAGGTGCAGGCTCAGGCTGAAGACTTGACTAAGTACTCCACACAGCTGGGGGGCACAGGTTTTAAGCACCCTGGGAAGTACACCATCGGGGCCTGCAGCTTTGCCAGAGTGGAGTCTTTTCAGCTGTCTTCTCACCAGGTCAGGCGTGAAGGGCACTGTAGAGGTGGCAGTGGGGGGAGGGGTGAGGTCCTCAGGTTGTGGAGGACATGATGTAGAGCAGGGGGGAGGGGTGGAGTAGGTGGGTGTGAATTGAGGTGGTGAGGAGCAGACAAGGGGTCTGTAAGGAGGAGGAGTAGGGGGAGATAAAGTGGCAGTTGTTGGGTAGCCAGCAGCAGAGACTTGTGGGGGATGGGTCGCAGTATCAAACCTATTGAAAAATAGGTTCAGTAAATGATGAAGTGATGAAGGCGTGGATGAGGGTTTCTGCAGCGGAGAAAGAGAGTGATGGGCGGAGTCAGGCAATGTTTTTGAGATGAAAAAAGGCAGTTCTGGTGATTTGTTTTATGTGGTGTTCAAAGGAGAGGTTATTGTCAAAGATGACTCCGAGATTGCGACTGTGAAGGGATGGAGACAGGGTGGAGGTGTCGACAGTGAGGGAGAAACTATGAATGGTTTTAGTGATGGATTTTCGACCGATGATGATCATGTCTGTTTTGTCACAGTTAAGTTTAAGGAAGTTGGTGTGTATCCAGGATTTAATGTCAGTGAGGCAGTTGGAGAGAGTGGAGTGAGTGGGCAGAGGTGATGGATTTGGTGGAGATGTAGAGCTGGACATCATTGGCATAGCAGTGAAAGTTAAGACTATGGTGGCGAATGACCAAGCACCGAAGGAGGTGCAGTTGTTGATGTGGATGAACTGTTTTCTGTCGGTGAGATAAGATTGAAGCCAGGAGAGGGCGGTGCCGGTGATGCTGAGGGAAGATTTGAGGCGCGAGAGAAGAATGGTGTGGTTGATAGTGTCAAAAGCTGCAGTGAGGTCCAGGAGGATGAGGATGCTGAGGTGACCAGAGTCTGCGGAGAGGAGGATGTGAGGAGTCGTTGGTGACTTTGAGGAGGGCTTTTTCAGTGCTGTGTTGTAAACGGAAGCCGGATTGAAATGGTTTGAACAGGTCATTTGAGCAGAGATGGGTTTTGAGTTGTTTGGCGACAGTGCGTTCCAGTGTCTTAGACAGGAAGGGGAGATTGGAAATGGGCCAAAAGTTTGACATGATGTCAGGGTTGAGTCCAGGTTTTTTGAGGATGGGGGTGACACCAGCCAGTTTGAGTGAATGGGGGATTGAGCCAGAGCTGAGAGAGGAGTTAATGATTTCTGTGATGAGTGTGGAGATAGCTGGTAGACAGTCCTTGATGAGTTGGAATGGGATGGGGTCCAGGACACATGTTGATGTTTTCATCCCTGTCAAGATTTTGGACAGCTCCCCTGGTGACACAGGGGAGAACTGAGACAGGGGCTGAAAGGTGTAGGGGGGAGGAACAAATGATGGAGTGGGAGTGCAGACAGTGGTGGCAGAAGAAGAGGACAGGTTGTTGTAAATGGTGTCAATTTTGGTCTGAAAGAATGAAAGAAAGGAGTTGCATTTGTGAATGAGTTGGTGGTATTGTCACTGGGTTTGAGAAGTTTATTTACTGTGGAGATTAGAGCCTTGGGGTTGGTGGAACCAGAGTGTATGAGGTGTGAGTAGTAGGTGGACCGGGTAGTGTTAAGAGCTTCCTTATACTGCTGAAGGTAATCTGTGTGGGCTTGTAGATGAACAGTTAAACCACTTTTCTTATGGAGTCTTTCAAGCTGACGCTTACGGGATTTCATTTTGTGCAGATCAGGAGTGTACCAGGGAGCAGAGTGAGTGAATGAGACAGTTTTAGTTTTGATGGGAGCCAGCCGATCGAGACAGGAGGAGAGTGTTTTGTTGTAGTAGTTGGTGAGGTCGGAAGGGTTGTCATTCAGCGGTGGGGGGGAGGAGGATATTTTGCTGGCAAGAGAGGCTGAAAGGGCATGAGTGGAGATGGATTTAAGATTTCTGAAAGGAACTGTCCGTTTGTCCTTGGTGGTAGAAATGGGGAGATCAATGTTCATGGTGATTGCCAGGTGGTCAGAGATGTTGAGGTTGAGGTTGGAGAGGTGAGGTATGGTGAGACCAGTAGAGCAGACCAGATCCAGGATGTGACCACGGCTGTGGGTGGGAAAGTTGACGTGTTGGGTGAAGTTGAAGCAGTGTAGCAGTTCCAGGAATTCAGTGGCAGATTTGCAGTTAGTGTCGATGTGGATGTTGAAATCTCCCAGGAGCAGAACAGAAGGTGAGATGGCAGATAACTGAGTTAAAAAGTCAGAAAGTCAGAGAGAAAGGAAGGATTTGGTTTGGGGGGGCGGTAGATTATGGCAGTGACCAGAGGAGTGGGACCAGAGAGTTTGAAAGTGATGTGTTCAAAGGACTGAGCAGCAGGGATGGAGATGGTGGATGTTTTAATGTCCTTTCTGTAAACTGCAGCGACAACACCTCCCCACCCCTCAGGTCGGGGTTTGTCCATGTCTGTATATCCTGTGGGTGTGGTCTGGTTGAGTGAGAAATAGTCCAGAGGTTTGTGCCAGGTTTCAGTGATACAGAGGAAATCCAGGTTATTGTCAGTTATGAATTCATTTAAAATTAGGCTTTTATTGTCGAGTGAGCGGGTGTTGAGCAAAGCCAGTTTCAGGTGACATTGCTTCGTGATGGACTGAGAGGACCGAGGAAGGGGGCGGAGATTAGATAGGTGCACGTGTCGTTTCTTTGTGATGACGTAGTGAGGAAGTTGCGGTGTGCAAACAGGACCAGATGGATGGAATGGAGTTTGGGGTTGAAAAGTTGTAATTGAAAATACGACCAGAGCCGGCAAAGTAGTCCAGTTTCTCGGAGGATGTCAATGCAGTCCGGACAGAGGTGGTTGTTGAGTGAGTGGAGGTCGGCGGTGGAGTAGAGCGGTGGCATGATCCAGGTGTGGAGCTTGTACCCAGAAGCCGGGTGTCTGTGGATGAAAAGATGACGTGTACCCCAGGTGTATCCATGGAATAATCCACAGCATAACCGCAGCAAATTGCCAATAATCCGATGAGGAGGAGAGGGGCCGCCGGCCTGCTAGCCAGGCAGTCCAGGTAGGGAGAGGAGGTTGTCAGCCTGATGCAGTGGTGGCCAGCGGAGGAAGCCAAAGCCAAAGCCCAGTAAAGCCGACCATACCAGGATGGAAAGATCCTGGCAGGACGGGCAGGTGGGCTCCAGCTGGCAGAGGAGATGGCAGGGAAAGACCGCAGGAATGGCCACCCTGGTGGCAGGGCGATGAGGCTATGCTGAAGTCCCAGGGATCCTGGAGCTAGCAGGAGCTAGCAGGATGGTGGGGGGGACTTCATAGGTACGAAGCAGATAGATAGCAGTGAATTTGTTTGCTCTCCAACTTCCGAGGACTGCCGAACCAGACAATCTGGTGTGGTGAGGCATAGATCAAGAGACAAAAACTTTATCATAGACTATTGTCGGAGACAGAGCGGCAGCCAAGGTGCGCCATTTTCCGATATGTTCTGACATAGTTCAGGACAGGTATGACAGCCTGTCTTTCTGTCTGTACCTACCTACCTGCCTGCCTGTCTTTCTGTCTGTCTGTTTCTTTACCTGTCTCTCTGTCTGTACCTGTCTCAGGACTGGTGGCGTGTCCTCCTTGTGGTCCTGGCGCTCCTGTTGACTGTGGAGGAGGTGCTGAGGGAGGTTCAGGACATCCTGCGTTCCAGGAGGAAACTCTGCCTCTGGCGGCAGTGGGCGGAGCGTCGTCTCCATGATGACCTGCGCTGCTCACATCCCATGTGGCCTCAGGTTAGCTACAGCCAACTACTGTTAGCTTAGCCTAGCATGAAGCCTGGAAACTGGAAATAGCTAGCTTAGCCAAAGCCAACGCTCAACGTGTGTGTGTGTGTGTGTGTGTGTGTGTGTGTGTGTGTGTGTGTGTGTGTGTGTGTGTCTGTGTGTGTGTGTGTGTGTGTGTGTGTGTGTGTGTGTGTGTGTTGTCTGTCTGTCTGTCTGTCTGTCTGTCTGTGTATCTGTGTGTGTGTGTGTGTGTGTCTGTGTGTGTGTGTGTGTGTGTGTGTGTGTGTGTGTGTTTGTGTGTGTCTCTGTGTGTGTGTTTGTGTGTGTGTCTGTGTGTGTGTGTGTGTTTGTGTGTGTCTCTGTGTGTGTGTGTGTGTGTGTGTGTGTGTGTGTGTGTGTGTGTGTGTGTGTAGGACAGAGTGTATCTGTTGGATCAGATCAAACCGATCGACAGGATGAGAGGAAGCTACAGCCGAGACATCTGGTACAAGATAATATGAAGATTAATTTAATATTAATGTAATATTATTTCATATTAATTGAATCAAACTGTAACTGAACTAATTAAGTTATTGAACGTGTGTGTGTGTGTGCCGCCAGGAACATGTTTGATTGGCTCGTGTACTCTCTACTGACGGCATCGTTCAGCGTCCACATGGCCGACGTGTTCCGTCCCTCTGTCAGTCTTCACACCGCCAGTCTACGTCTGTTCTCCGTCACCATCATCTTCCTCTGGTTGCGACTGATGAAGCACGTCAGAGCCTTCAGGTGGTTACCATGTTAGCAAACATGTTGGGATAGATCCTCTGAATGGCAGTGAGGTTTCACTCTGTGTGCACGCAGGTCAATGGGTCCGTTCATCGTCATGTTGGGGAAGATTGTCGGGGACGTGATGTATTTCCTGTTCCTGTACTGTGAGATCTTCGTTCCGTACGCCTGCAGCTTCTGGATCATGTTCGGAGGTCAGTGGGGGGACTTCCTGTTTCCTGTCCTGGTTTCTTCATGTTGAAACTTCTGTTTACAGTATTATTTATTTTTTATTATTTGTCATTGTTACAGGGTCGTCGTCAGTTCCCAGCATGCAGTCTGTCTCTGGGCTGCTGTTCAGTCTGTACAGGATCACTCTGGTGGACGAGTACGAGTACGCTGCCATGGCGGCAAAGGACGCTGTTATGGCTCCTCTGTTGTGTGGGACATTTCTGGCGGCGTCCTCCATCCTGTGCGTCAACCTGCTGATCGCCCTGCTCACTGACACCTTCCAGAGGCAAGAACTTTCTTACCTTAGCATGTGGCTAAGTTAGCAGGAGGTCAAGTTAGCATGAGGGTTAAGTTATATACTATATATATATATTCTGTATAATAGACATTAGAGCATTGAACGACAGAGACAAGTTTTGCAATGTTATGTTTCCGTGCTTTTTGCTTTAATTGGCCGGTTTGGTGGTTGAACCATGCTGCTAGCCTCCTATGTTTTAATATTTTCCTCTTTAGGGGCAATAGAATCTAATGTTGCTCTCAGTGAGCCTGCAGCACTATCTACATTTGGGAGGAACTAAAGTTATTATAAGACTCTGTTATATTCAGACATTGAATTAAACACTGTTGCAATCTCCTCCTTAAATTTAGCTACAGCACTGTCAGATAGACATCTGCTGTAGGAAGTTTTGCCTAATGGCTTATAATCTAGTAATATGAATATAAAAGTTATTAAATAATGGTCAGATAGTAAAGGATTTTGTGGGAGTAATGTGATATATCCCCCCCCACTGACAGGAGCCCTGATAACCAGATAATTCTGGTTATTCAATTCAATTCAATTCAATTCAATTTTATTTGTATAGCGCCAATTCATAACAGACGTTATCCCAGGACACTTTTCAAATAGAGCAGGTCTAGACCGAACTCCTTATAACATTATTTACAGAGACCCAACAGTACCACCATGAGCAAGATCTTGGAGACGGCGGCAAGGAAAAACTGCTTTTTAAGAGGCAGAAAACTATGACAGACCCTTCGGCTCTAGGTGGTTGGTCGTCTGCCTCGACCAGTTGGGGTGAAAGAGAGAGAGAGAGAGAGAGAGAGAGACAGAGAGAGATAGAGAGACAGAGACAGACAGACAAGCAGACAGATAGACAGAGGTGCACAGCAACAACAGTAGCAACAACTACACTAATAGTGACTGATGATGATGAACATGAAGAAGATGATGACAATGACAACAACAACGATGGGGGACAATGAGCAGTGATTATAGTAATAATAGTAACTGTAGTAATAATAATAATAATTAAAGCTGCAAGCAGCGTTGGGTGGGACCTCGCACTCCACGCAACTCGGGGTGCGCTGCGGACGCGTCGCGTGCCGTCGTAACACATGCGGACCACAACACGAAAATGTCACGTACATCAACTCAAAATCGCCACGCAGCGCTTACCACCTGTTGCTGGAAGGTGGCGCTATTGCTATGTCTTAATATTGTCATGTAGACAAGTTCAGGGCGGGACTGTTGTAACACACGTGAAGTTTCATTGAGATTGGACGACGTACGCTGAAGTTATGAGTGGCATTTCATGGCGAATCCGCTGAATTTGACAAGTCGTCACTGGCACGGTCATTTCACGTAACGCAGCACAAAATCGCCATGCAGCACTTACTTCCTGTTGCCAGTAGGTGGCGCTATCACTATGTCTGAATATTGTCATGTAGACGTGTTCAGGGTGGGACTGTTATCAAACACGTGAAGTTTCATTGAGATTGGATCATGTACGCTGAAGTTATGAGGACGTGTTCAGGGTGGGACTGTACACTGAAGTGGAGTACTATCTGTTTATGGTGACTGGTCGAAATTCAACGCAACGCCACGGGTACGCCGTTTGACGGAATGTCGTAAATAGCACAACTTTAAATCATAATTGTCTTTAGATTGCGCTGATTAAATCTGAAGTAGATCCGATAAATTCCCTAGGAGGAGTTCGTTCAAATACAACGCGAAAAATCACAGAAAATGACCAAAAAAATCTAAATGGCTGACTTTGATGCCACGCCACGGACACGCCCTTCAACGTACATGCACAAATAGCACAACTTTTAATCAGCACCATTTTTTGACTGTACTCACAAATTTTGAAGCAGATCTGATAAATTCCCTAGGAGGAGTTCGTTCAAATATAACGCGAAAAGTTCGCCGAAAGTGAAAATCAAAATCAAAATGGCCGACTTCCTGTGGAGTTTGGGGTATGGGTCCAAGAGTCTTTTTTGTACGTCCCGGTATGTTACACGTGCCTACTGAGTTTCATACATATCGGTGAAACGTGGTGCCGGGGCTTCTGTTTTTTTATCCTGTAGGGGGCGCTACACACATGACGAACACGATTTTTGCTATGTGAGCTTCAGGCACTACTCTACACGTGTCCTGTGAATTTCATATTAATAACTATTATGGTATTCGCACAGTGATTTACGATGCCAAAAGAGCGCCACCTAGTGGCGTATTTTGTTTTTCCTTTTTAAGGGAGCCTCAGGGAGCCAGGGGGAAGCGTCATACCAAGTTTCATCTTAATCACATATACCCTTGTAGAGATATAAACTTCTTCATTTTAAAGAGCGCCACCTAGTGGCAATGGCCTGAAATTGTGCACGATGCTTAAGGAAGACATGTGGAACTATGGACCCGAGTTTGGTGTCAATCAGACATACCAATGTGGAGAAATGGTCCACTTCCTTTTTTGATGAAAAATCTACAGGAAGTTGGAATTTTATAGCGTGCTTATTTTTTTAAATTTCAAAAATGTTCAAATTAGCCTTTTTGCCAGGGCGGTCCCCAGGTAGTAGGTGAAAAATTTCGTGCAAATCGGAAAAAGCGTGTAGGAGGAACACTTAAAAGTAGTTTATGGACATTTTGCGCTCTAGAAAAAAAAATTTCTAGGCGGAAGTGGGCGGGTCTTATATGGGGAGATTCAGCTCCATTCACCGAACACGTGGATGTAAGTTTTTTGAATGTGCGACAAACTATGCAGAAGTTATTAGCCTAAACGCATTTTTTATGATAGTAGCGCCACCTAGTGGCAGACCCGAAAGCGACGCATGTAATATCCCCATTTTCACCAAGCCTGATCACTTTGCCAAATAAAATTGACTTTTCGTATATGTTCAGGGGGGCAAAAATGCAGTCAATAGGGGCTAAAAATAATAATAATAGGTAAGAAGAAATCGAGCAAATACAATAGGGACCTCCAGCGGTCGCTTGCGAGGTCCCTAATAATAATAATATCAGTGATATTAGCAATGGCAGTCAAGCAGGACCATGGTAGGAGGCTCCACCAGGATCCATGAGAACCTGTGAGACGAGAAAGCACAAGAACTTGGGGAAGAAGGGAAGGCTCTGGCTCCTGTTCTACTTTTAGAAACTATAGGAACCACAAGTAGCCCAGCATTCAGAGAACGTAGTGTTCTAGTGGGGGTAATAGGGTACTATGAGCTCTTTAAGATATGAAGGGGCCTGACCATGAAGAGCTTTATAGGTGAGGAGGAGGATTTTAAATTCTATTCTAAATTTTACAGGGAGCCAATGCAGAGAAGCTAGTACAGGAGAGATATGATCTCTTTTCCTAGTTCCTGTCAGTACTCGTGCTGCAGCGTTCTGAATTAATTGGAGCGTCTTAATGGACTTATTGGGGCAACCTGATAATAAAGAGTTGCAGTAATCCAGCCTAGAAGTAACAAATGCATGGATTAGTTTTTCTGCATCCGTCTGTGATAGTATGTGTCTAATGTTTGTAACATTGCGTAAATGAAAGAAGGCAGTCCTAGAGGTCTGCTTTATGTGGGAATTAAATGACAAATCCTGATCAAAGATAACTCCAAGATTCCTGACAGTGGTGCTAGAGGCCAAGGTAATGCCGTCTAGAGTAATTATATCTTTAGACAGTGAGTCTCTGAGGTTTTTGGGGCCAAGTACAAGAATTTCGTTTAGTTTAACATCAGAAAATTACAGCTCATCCAGGATTTTATGTCCTTAAGACATGTTGGTAATTTAGATAATTGATTAATTTCATTGGGCTTGATCAATAGATATAACTGTGTATCATCTGCATAACAATGAAAGTTAATGGAGTGATTCCTAATAATGTTGCCTAAGGGAAGCATATATAAAGCGAATAGAATTGGTCCAAGTACAGAGCCTTGCTGAACTCCATGACTAACTGTAGTATTTATTGAAGATTCATCTTTAACATGTACGAACTGAGAACGATCAGATAAGTATGACTTAAACCAGCTCAGTGCGGTTCCTTTAATGCCAATTTGATGCTCAAGTCTCTGTAAAAGAATATTATGGTCAATGGTGTCAAATGCAGCATTAAGATCCAATAATACAAGTACAGAGACAAGTCCATTGTCTGAAGCAATCAGAAGGTCATTATTAAATTTAACCAGAGCTGTCTCTGTGCTATGATGAACTCTAAATCCTGACTGAAAATCCTCAGATAAACTATTGTTATGTAGAAAGTCACACAACTGTTTGGCGACTACTTTCTCCAGAATCTTAGAGAGGAAGGGGAGGTTAGAAATCGGTCTATTGTTGGCTAAAACCCCTGGGTCAAGAGTGGGCTTTTTAAGAATGGGTTTAATTACAGCTACTTTAAAGGACTGTGGTACATATCCTGATAATAAGAAAGATAAATCATATCTAGTAAAGAAGTGCCAATTAAGGGTACGACTTCTTTAAGCAGCCTAGTTGGGATCGGGTCTAATAGACAGGTTGATGGCTTCGTTGAAGAAATTATTGAAGTTAACTGATGAAGATTGATGACAGAAAAACAGTCTAAATATGTATCTGATTTTAGTTAAAGTTCCTGAACTTGGAGAGACAGTGATAGCTATTGAGGGCATTTGGTGATTAATTTTGTCTCTAATAGTAATAATCTTATTGTAAAATATAAAGTCGTTGCTACTTAAGGTTATGGGGATAATCACTGCTATACACTGGCAGTGCTCACAGTGTTAGGGCTGATCGCTGTATATATAGTACAGTATATATATATTTATATATTATATACAGTATGTATACTGTGTGTTTACAGGGTCCACGATAACTCGCAGGCTAACGCTGTGATGCAACAGGCTGCCGTCATCCTGCAGGTGGAGGAGTCTATGCCCCTCCTCCGCCGTTTCTATGACGACCAGTACATCTCCACCCACTGCACGCCGCTGGCTGACGCCTATGATGATGACATCACAACAAATCCCCGTTACCATGATGAGATGAGCCGCATCACCACGCAGATAAAAGTGAGTGAAGAAGAAAATATACATGTCTATATGTACATTTGTACAAGTATGTATGTGTAATATAGTTTATATGTCTGTGTTTGTGTCCTGTAGGAGACTGTTGATCAGTTCTTGGTCCTGCAGAGAGACGTAGAGACTGTAAGAGGTTCTGGGTGAGAACACTTCTTCATGTGTTCATCTTTATACTGCTTACAGTACTGCGTACAGTGTATTTATACTGCGTACAGTGTATTTATACTGCGCACAGTGTGTATTTACACTGCGTACAGTGTATTAATACTGCGTACAGTGTATTAATACCGTGTACAGTGTATAAATACTGCGTACATTGTATTGACACTGCGTACAGTGTATTAATACCACGTACAGTGTATTAATACTGTGTACAGTGTATTTATACTGCATATATTGTATTTACACTGCATACAGTGTATTAATACTGCGTACAGTGTATTAATACTGTGTACAGTGTATTTATACTGCGTACAGTGTATTAATACTGCGTATAGTGTATTAATACCGCGTATAGTGTATTTATACCGCGTACAGTGTATTAATACCGCGTACAGTGTATTTATACTGCGTACAGTGTATTTACACTGCGTACAGTGTATTAATATTCGTACAGTGTATTAATACTGCGTACAGTGTATTAATACTGGGTACAGTGTATTTATACTGCGTACAGTGTATTTACACTGCGTACAGTGTATTAATATTTGTACAGTGTATTTACACTGCGTACAGTGTATTAATATTTGTACAGTGTATTTACACTGCGTACAGTGTATTTATACTGTGTACAGTGTATTTATACTGCGTACAGTGTGTATTTACACTGCGTACAGTGTATTAATAATGTGTACAGTGTATGTATACTGTGTACAGTGTATTTATACTGTACGCAGTGTATTTATTTATTCACTGTGTACAGTGTGTATTTACACTGCAAACAGTGTATTTATACTGTGTACAGTGTATTTATACTGTGTACAGTGTATTTATACTGCGTACAGTGTGTATTTACACTGCGTACAGTGTATTAATACTGTGTACAGTGTATGTATACTGTGTACAGTGTGTATTTACACTGCGTACAGTGTATTAATAATGTGTACAGTGTATGTATACTGTGTACAGTGTATTTATACTGTACACGGTGTATTTATTTATTCACTGTGTACAGTGTGTATTTACACTGCAAACAGTGTATGTATACTGTGTACAGTGTGTATTTACACTGCGTACAGTGTATTAATACTGTGTACAGTGTATGTTTACTGTGTACAGTGTATTTATACTGTACGCTGTGTATTTATACTGCTTACAGTGTGTATTAATACTGCGTACATTGTATTGACACTGAGTACAGTGTATAAATACTGCGTACAGTGTATTAATACTGCGTACATTGTATTGACACTGAGTACAGTGTATAAATACTGCGTACAGTGTATTAATACTGCGTACATTGTATTGACACTGAGTACAGTGTATAAATACTGCGTACAGTGTATTAATACTGCGTACATTGTATTGACACTGAGTACAGTGTATTAATACTGCTTACAGTGTATTTATACTTTGTGAAAATAGTTCCTATAAATTCACTATTTGAGTCAACTGGTGGACTGTCGTCTGTCCTCTCTGCCAGAATGCAGACTGACCACAACCTGCAGACCCAGGAGCTCCAGGACCACAACCTGCAGACCCAGGAGCTCCAGGACCACAACCTGCAGACCCAGGAGCTCCAGGACCACAACCAGCAGACCCAGGAGCTCCAGGACCACAACATGCAGACCCAGGAGCTCCAGGACCACAACCTGCAGACCCAGGAGCTCCAGACTATCCGAGCAGAGCTAAAACAGCTCCGAACTCTGGTTCAGCAGCTGATTGGAACCAGGACTGATTGACTACTTACTATTATTACTATATTCACTGCTCATTGTCCCCTATCGTTCTCGTTGTCGTCGCCATCATCTTCTTTATGTTCATCATCATCATCATCATCAATCACTACTATTAGTGTAGTTGTTGCTACTGTTGTTGTTGTGAACCTTTGTGTTTGTCTCTGTCCTTCTGTTGTTACATCTGTTATCTCTCTCTGTCTCACCCCAACTGGTCGAGGCAGACGACCACCCACCTAGAGTCAGGGTCTGTCCGAGGTTTCTGCCTTTTAACAGGCAGTTTTTCCTTGCCCTTGTCGCCAAGGTCTTGCTCATGGTGGGAACTGTTGGATCTCTGTAAATAGGGTTTTAAAGAGTTCGGTCTAGACCTGCTCTATTTGAAAAGTGTCCTGAGATAACTTCAATTCAATTCAATTCAATTCAATTTTATTTGTATAGCGCCAATTCATAACAGAAGTTATCTCAGGACACTTTTCAAATAGAGCAGGTCTAGACCGAACTCTTTAACATTAATTACAGAGACCCAACAGTACCACCATGAGCAAGACCTTGGCGACAAGGGCAAGGAAAAACTGCCTGTTAAAAAGGCAGAAACCTAGGACAGATCCTCCGGCTCTAGGTGGGTGGTCGTCTGTCTCGACCAGTTGGGGTGAGAGAGAGAGAGAGAGAGAGAGAGAGAGAGAGAGAGAGAGAGAGAGAGAGAGAGCGACAGACAGACAGGTGCACAGCAACAACAGTATTGGCAATGGCAGTCAAGCAGGACCATGGCAGGAGGCTCCACCAGGATCCATGAGAACCTGCGAGACGAGAAAGCACAAGAACTCCGGGGAAGAAGTGGAGTTAGTAACATGCATTAAAGGGACATGAATGAGTGCAGAAAGAGAGAGGAAGAGAGTAGCTCAGTGCACCATGGGAAATCCCCCGATAGTCTAGGCCTATAGCAGCATAACTAAGGGATGGTTCAGGACTCACCTGATCCAGCCCTAACTATAAGCTTTATCAAAGAGGAATGTCTTAAGCCTACTCTTGAACGTGGTGAGGGTGTCTGCCTCCCGAACCACAACTGGAAGCTGGTTCCACAGGAGAGGAGCTTGGTAACTGAAGGCTCTGGCTCCTGTTCTACTTTTAGAGACTATAGGAACCACAAGTAGCCCAGCATTCAGAGAACGTAGTGTTCTAGTGGGGTAATAGGGTACTATGAGCTCTTTAAGATATGAAGGGGCCTGACCATGAAGAGCTTTATAGGTGAGGAGGAGTATTTTAAATTCAATTCTACATTTTATAGGGAGCCAATGCAGAGTAGCTAGTACAGGAGAGATGTGATCTCTTTACTTATAACTTCTGTTATGAATTAGCATTATACAAATAAAACTATCTTTAGACAGTGAGTCTCTGAGGTTTTGGGGTACAAGAACTTTTCTGAGTTTAACATCAGAACATTGCAGCTCATCCAGGTTTTTATTTCCTTAAGACATGTTTGTAATTTAGATAACTGATTAATTAAATTAATATAGTAATGTATATTGGATGGGTCAAATGCAGAGGACAAATTTCATTTCATGTATTTAAATGTTGTATATACTGTGAAAATGACAATAAAGACTGATATATTATGATATATTATACATATTCTTACTCTGACTGACTGTATGACACATCTGAACTGACAATGAAAAACAATCACTAAAACAATGACTTTATTCAGAAACATTTAATTTATTTAAAATACATAGGAGATAGTGTGTCAACAGAACGATGACATAAAGAGTCAAATGTTTGACTTCAAGTATTTTTTTAAATTTGATTTATTAAGACTTATATTATTAGAATTATTCTTTATTATTGTTAGTCATTTATTTATTTTAAAAATAATTTTGTAAATTGGCGGAAGTGGGTTAAAGCGCAGCTCCGCCCACTCAGCTGTTGATGATTTCCGGTTCCGGGTTCTTCTTCCTCCAGCAGCAGCTCAGCACAGAGGAGGGAGCAAAGATGGCGGCGGCCCAGTCCGACAGAGATCTACCGTCCGCTTTATGTGCGGAATTCCTGAATTTCTCCGCCAAAGACACCGCGTCGGTAAGCGGCTCCTCGAGCTGTCAGTCAGCTGCCTCTCACCTGTGCTGTCACTGCGTCACACTCACCTGTCTGACCCGCTTTGTGTAGTTTTAATCTGCCTCCGACTCGGCTTGTTTTTCACCAGCTAATGCTAATGCTAACGCTAGCTGCGGTGATCTGAAAAACATCTGGATGTGACAGAAACAGCTGCTGTGTGTCTGTCAGCGCGAGCTACCCGCTTCAGCACCTACCGATGATGTTTTTACATCACACCTGCACCTGTTTACCGGCGAATCGGTGTTTGTGAACGTTAATTTAAGGTTGTAACGTCTGTAAACAGCACACCGGTGTTACACTCAATCCGGTCTCCTCCTGAATTTATCTGACTCTATTTATCAAACATGGCGTTTGATGTACAGACCTGTACCGTACCACACACACACCTGTACTGTACCACAGTTTGTAATGTCTTGTATGTTTTTTCTTCCTGTTATTTTTCTTTTAAAGAACTTAATAATAATC